ATAAATTGATATAAATATAATTCTTTACTTCTCTATTGGCCCTCATATAATAAATATATTGGAGTGTGAATTAATTTTCAAGACATATCATAACTATTTTCTCCTTAATAATAGTCCTTTACGTCGTTTTGTTGGGTGTAGGTAACTTTAATCGAAGATTCACAAAATATATACTCACCTTTGACGCCTCGTCATTGCCAATCTGTCATTTGACTCATCACTGTAAATGGTAATTGTTTTTCGAGAGATATTGAAATCGACTAATTTCATATAATTTATGTTGGCAATTTTATTTTTTAGTGAGTTTACGTTAGTATTTGCATGGTATCAAAGCTTGGGTATTAAAGAACTACCAGGATGAATGAATGAATGAGATTTCAAATATTTTAATTTCTTCATGTGCATTATTATCTTTTCAAGTTATAGTAATTTATTTGAAACACTTTTAACTACAATTTTTGTCGTTATCTATTATGCACTCATTGCCTTTCGACATCTAATTTATGTTCACCTTCTATTGGCTAACATATAACACATATTAGACTATAAATTGATTTTCAAAACATATTATAACTATTTTCTCTTTGATTACTATATTTTAATACTCAAATTTGTTTTTGTTATTTTAATACTATTTGAGCATTGAAAGATAGTCATTAAATAGAAAATAGTTATAATATGTTTTGAAAATCAATTTATCCAAGTGCTAATAGCTCAATTGGTAAAGATCTCTAGCAAAAGCTTAGAAATTGCCGGTTCGAGTAGCGTTTGGGACGAAACCATATAACATGCTTTAGTTTTGGGCCTGAGGAGATGTATGGGCTTTGGCCCAGAACCTCTTTGATTATTCAAAAAAAAAAATCAATTTATAGTCTAATATATGTTATATTATCTGTGAGCCAATAGAAAATGAAAATAAAATAGATGTCAAAAGGCAATGAATGCATAGTAGATAATGACGAAAGACTTGTAGTCAATAGTGTTTAAAATAAATTACTAAAACTTGAAAAGATAATAATGCACGTGATTAAATTAAAATCTTTGAAATCTCATTCATTCATTCATCATTGCATTTCTTTAATACCCAAACTTTGATACCATGCAGATACCAACCTAAACTCACTAAAATTAATAAAATTGCCAACCACAATTATATGAAATGAGCCGATTTCAACATCTCTCGAAACAATAACCATTTAACGGTGATGAGTCAAATGAGAGGGTGGCTATGACAAGACGTCAGAGGTGAAAAAAACAACGTCTTTTTAAAGGACTATTATCAAGGAGATAATAGTTATGATATGTCTTGAAAATCAATTCACACTCCAATATATCTATTATATGAGAGCCAATAGAGATGCACATAATTATATCTATATCAATCTATAATGTTGCTTTTATTCAAGATGAACTGTTTAAATGCATACATACAATGAACTATTTAATTTAATGATTTAGAACAGTTTGTGAGAGTTACAAGAATTGAAGGCTTATGAAATATAAGGCTGTACCACCTACTATAAAGCCTAATTTTACAGTTAAACAAATAACAATAAACATTTCAAATAGTAAACTAATATAAACTTACAAAAAGAACTCGTGAAATAAAATAACAAAAAATGACAGCAATAAAAAACCAACAAAACAAACATTGCAAAAAAAAAAGACAAAGAAAATCATAATACAAAACAAAAAATTATAAACCTCATGTGCGTAGCGCGGGTCAACAACTAGTAATAAATAAGATTTCCTCAAAAAGCTTTCAACAGAGAGTGACACCTTTCCAAAACTAAAACTATTTAATTTTTCCTCCTTTCTAATTTGGTGGGAATTTTAATCATCTTAACTATACAATTAATATACCATTTAATCATATTAATTTGAATTTTATCCACCATGTTTATGGTTGATTGACCAGCATAATTTTCTCTATATTAAGAAAATATTTTGAAGAGGAAGAGGAAACCGAAATAAAAATGGAACTTTTTTACCTTTTTTAATGATGATGGTGAAAGTTTTTGTATTATTTCTGCTATCCAAGCACTTATTTTCAAAGAATGGTGCATAAAAGCAAAAGAAATGTTTGCTAATTGCTACCAAAAGAAAATGAATCAATAGTCACAAGAGTGTTGTGGTAGGTGTGATGAATCTCTACTATGTATCTAAAATAGTACTGTATTTGGTTTTCTAATTGAAAATTGAGCGGAGATCAGACTATGCAATACCGTCAGCAAATAGTTTAGGTTGATTTTGACAATTATATCGACCAATGCTATGCCTAATAGTTATTTTTAATAATTTTATTCAATAGTTTGTTATAAAGGTATATATAGCTTATAAATAAAATAATTTAGTTAGTAAAAATAAAAAATTATGTAATACAACAATGAAATTTAAAATTTGAAAACACAATAAACCAAAAAACTTTATGTATATCTAGATTTATTGAAAAAACAATTATAGAAATAGCTTTGAAATTTCATATACAACTATTTTGTGAAAGAAAATTTAATCACAAAATATAAATATAAAAAAATATATATAAGTAAATGTTAGGATTCAAAATGTTTTAAAAAGTTAGAAATTTTACCTTTACATAAAATATTAAAAAATTACAAAATAGTACTTTAAATTTAAATTTTGTAAATATATTTTGTAGATTCAGTTTGTAATTTTACATTTAAACTCTTTCTAAATATATGATAAAAAATCCTCTCGAGGACTCGACACTCTAAGATGGTGAAAGATATTCCTTAGATTCAACGGACGGTGAATCCACGAAGAACAAGGATGGTGGAGCGAATGGTCGCACAAGAGCTGCGGAAGACTCTAGATTTACCGAACTTGAATCCCTTAGATATGACACACTAAGACGAATTCAAGGGTGACAATGAGAATCACTCTCGACAAGACCCTCTGCATATGACACACCAAAACGGATCATGCAATGATCAATGGATATTACACACCATTAACCAAACCAATGGATACTACACACTAGTGACGAAAAATGATAAACACTCTCAAAAGGTTCCAAAAATATCAAAAATGTTTATTCTTATTATTCATGAGATAACCTCATTATATAGAAGGGAAATACATCAAAAACGTCCATAATAGTAGCTCAACATGCACAGCATCTAGGAAAATGAAATTCAAACTCTAAAGTGCATGTAAGAGAGAGATATCGAAAGAATTAAATGCTATTTTGCTATGGACGAAAATTGATACTTATTCATTATTTTTGGGCTGAATCCACCTAGTTGGGCTTCTCTCAAGGACCAAGATTGTAGAACAACTTGGTTTGTAGCTTAATTCATTATGGCCCGTTTGAAATCCTTCGTTGAATGAACGCATATCTGAATCAGGTAAACTGGAGAACACCTGATTTGTAAAATCAATAACTCCTTCGCCTGAACTCCGTTTGACTTGATTATTCTTTGAGGAGTTATATAGTTGAGCTGAGCATCTTCTCCAAATCGTTTCGTGTATAGATTCCTCATGGTTGAGAAGATATGCTAAGTTCTTTTTTGGGTTTTAAATTAAATTATAACCTCACATACAATATGTGCATGATTTAATCCACTTTAAAACAACTAGTGAGAAAATGATACATATTCATTGAAATAATAAAAAAATAGTTTTATATGAAATATTCAATAGTAACGTAAAAATAATTAAAAAGGTATAATAATCATCAATTTAAGATGATTGTATGTATTCATCTAAAGTAAATATTTTTTTTTAAAAAAAAGAAAAAAAGAAATAGGAAAGTATTAAATTTTAAGATTAAAGTAAGAGTTCATACAAATTACTACGAGAAAAGTTCGATAGTATAAAGATAAATTAGTAGAACATTGTCAATATTACTACGAGGAAAATAGTCACAAATGTTTTCGGAATATCCACTGTATTCTTTTTACTATTAATTATTTTCTGAAAAATATTTTTTTAGTAGTTTCTAGATTTTCATCACAAGCTCTCTATTTATGTATGTTTTTTGTCCTTAAGTAAAAGTCTCAAATTTCAACAACTCTTTTTATTCATTATTAAATAAATATTCTATATTTGTTAAGATTGACTAGAATTTCATATGAGGTTTGACTAAATTTATTATCTATATATTAATTATAAATTTGACTAAAAGTATGAATTATATTATTTAACTGATATCAATGCGGAAAAACACTTAAAAATACCCATCTATTTTTTATTTGACACTGGTTAATCAGCATCTAACGTCCGTTAACGGAGGTTAAATCAAGGGTTCGAAATTACCCACAATTGTTTTTTTTTTTTTGGTAGGAATTACCAACAATTGATAATATGAAGCATTTTTAGACTAACAATCATTAAATAAAGTATTTTTATTCCAATCAACGTGAGTATTTTAAAGTTTTTTCCTGATATCAATGATAAATATGAGCATGAATGAAACAAATAATATAATCGGTAAGAATAATATATACTTCAAAGTTACATAATAATCTTTCTATTTCCATCTCAAACCTGTCTCTTTTGTTTTTTTTTCTTTTCTTATGAGATTCTAATATTCCAGTTATTAAGAAATTTATAAATTAAAAAACATGAGTTTAAACAATAGTCTTGTTTCTTGTCTCGTTTCTTAGTAGCGCCACAACTAAACTCAAAATCTTTTTTTAAACTAAAATTTGTAGATGTGTTATGATAAAATTCATCCCAACAATATTGATTTATTATTTCCTTACTAAATCTTATATTGCATTTTAATTCATTTTTATCAAATTGAATTTAATTGAGTAAATGCTGTTTACAATTTTGACTACAATATTGATTAGGTTATATATTATTGTAGGGTCACAAACAGTTTTGTTGAAAAGAAGTAATATAGGAAGTATCTTTTTATTTTATTAAATTCATTAATAAGGAGAAGAATAAAACAACATTCATCTTTTAAAATATCATAAGAGAAAAAACAATAATACCGTAACCAAATCACTAATTACTGTATGATAGTATCTTCAATTTGAATAATTGTAGCAACAACATTTTGGTTGTGGTAGTTTTTGACCTTTTGAAGCATCATCACACTGGCCTCCATCATAATGTTGATTTCTGCAGTCCTTGTAACATTTCAGATTCCCGTAAAATTGTGAACATTTCTCAATGCAATGCAAAGTTTGCTGGTTCGCTGCAATTACACAACCCAAGTATTAATAAATTTATATGATATTCTACTAAAATACTGAAATGTTAAAATATTAAAAATCAACAGTTTTGTTTAAAAGAACAAAGACTATGCTTACAAATGATTAAAGACAAATAAAAGAAAGAAAAAAACTTACTAGTTTTTGCCAAAATGTTGTTGTTAGAAAACGAAACTGTCAATATTACCACAAGGAAAATAGTCACAAATCTTTTCGTGATATCCATTGTAATATATTCTTTTGAGAAAGAGTTTTTTTTGTTTGTAATAGTTTCTCTAGATCTTCATCATAACCTCTATTTATATGTGTTTTCTTCTTTGAGTAAAATTTTGAAATTAACAATTCTTTAATTCATTATTACCATACATCAATATCCTGAATTTGTGAGGTTGACTAGAATTTAATATGAGGTTTGACTAAACTTATTATAAATTTTACTACAAATATATATATTTATACACATATATATATATATATATATATATATTGTATTAACTTGAGTCAATGCTAAATATGATCATTAATTTTATTTTTTTCATGCTCATATTTATCATTGACTCAAGTTAATACAATAATATATATTTTATGAAAATTAAAAAAAAAGTAAATGGAAATAATATATTTGATAAGATTACATTTACAGTTAATACATTCTCTGTTAATGGAAATATTAAAGAATTCTAAATAATGGGAATTTATATCATTCATTAAAGATTATCTAAAAGAAATACTAAAGATTATATCTATGAATTATATACTCATACTAAAGAAGGTTATGGTATTATTTTCGGCCCCTATTTTTTTTTTTTATAAATAGCATTTAAATTATAAATATATATATCTCCATGGTAATTGTGACTCAATTTATAACGTAGTTATATTATAAATGCTAGGACATTTTTAATTGATTATATCATTACAATATCTAAGAATATTTTGAACTGCTCAATGTATACTTTAGCCAATCTCGAATTTGTGTTCTTAAGTGAAGAGGTTTTTCTGTTACCAATAAAAATTAAAATGATAACTAATAAGGCCAAAAAAAATAAAAAGAACAAATAATTTTTTATTGCAACAGATTATAATCCGAAAAACTGTTATTGGTAGTTTTTAGAATTACTCTATCACATAATATATTAAAATAGTTTTTAGAATCTGATTACAAAAGAAAAACATAAAAATAGTTCTTAGAATAACTATGTCACATAAAAAAATACACATTACAAAATTACAAAACTTGGACGAACACATACAAAACATAATATAAACCCTTTGCAACAATGAAAAACAGATACAAAACTTATAAACACTTTTAAATGACGTTTTAAACTTATAAACACTTTTAAACATAATATAAACCCATCAGGATCGTTTTGATCGATGAAACGCCATTTTTATTTACGGTCAACTTCTGAAACAACTTCTTAAACATGTCATCGTATAAACAACTTTTCATTTAGAACAAAATGTGCTGTGAAGAAGAATTTTTATACATGAAAGACAATTAGGAAAGGAAAAAAATAAAAGATGGCGTTTAAGAAGTTGTTATGGCGAGGCTTAGGGTTTTTAGTAGATTTTTTAAAATTTAATTTCGAGAATTTGTAAAGTCCAATTATTAATTTTATTAGTCTAATTGTGCAATTTTTTCTGTAGAGGAATATTGGAGCGACACATCAGCATTTTTGGCAAAAATAGGGGATTGCACTTGGTTAAATATTTTGTAAAATATTTTTAAATCATTATAAGTATGACCAATATTAAAACTATTGTTACATGAACATAATTAAAATTTCAAAAAGGTTCAAAATATTAAAATTAAAAGGTTCAAATATATAAACATCTTAGAATTTAAAATATTGAAAATATTTTTTGAACACATAAATGTAATTTTGGAAACATAATTTTTGTTGATAAAATATATTATATATCAAACTATGTAAAATTTCGATAGTTCACGGGTAGTTTGTTAAAATCACAATTATAATGATAAAGCAAGTTATGAATAATGTTTTTTACGAAATGAATTATGTTACGGGTTGGTCCTTCAAAAAATATATTGTAAACGTATATTCCTACTTCTACTACAAAAATGGTCAAAATGAATAATTTATCGACAAACATTATTTCATGCTGTTAAATTTTTACCGTGTTTTTAATTGTATCAAAACTTAATATATGATTATTTACTCGCTTTTTTCTTCTATTATTTTATTGAAACTTATTATACAAATATATGATTCACCATAATCGACTGCACTGCAATAAAATTGAAATGTAACATATTCTAATTCGTTAAAGGTTATATATACGTAATTATTTCTCCCGCGTTGTAGCGCGGGTCCGAACCTAGTAAACTACAAAATTGATTTCGCATCATTCACGTCTTATGTATGTTAATCATTAGTCATCATATGCTTAACATATTTAGCATCATTATTAATTAACAAGAGTTGGGCATCAAATTAATTCAATTGATTATGCTTTTCGTTTCACAAATTTTTTTGGAGGTTTGCGAAAAAATATAGGTCTGAACAAGAACCAACTATCTTCAGATTCGGTCCAAAGAATTTGGTTTACTTCAGATTTGGGTTGGGAATACATTTTGGTTGGGTTGGTTTGAATTCAGTTTTGGTTCATTTTAAATTGTATTTTGAGAAAATATACTTTAAACTAAAATAATAATACCATATTTCTTGTATATTAAATCTGTTATACATATTAATATAATAATATAAGTTTTTAAAAATGTATAGTTTATTCGATATACTTCTACAAATATTCGGTATAGAACTTTTATTCTGCTTGGATTATTTAAAATTTGGCTGATGAAGTTTTGGTCGGTTTGGTCATTCTGATTTCTTTTATTTCATATCCCTAAGATAAAATTTAATCTTATTTTTATTTCTGAATTAATGTGTCAAAAACAATTAACATGTTTTTCCAGTATTTGACATAAAAAGGTAAATATAAATTTACACATATTAAATTATAGTAACAAGGTTTTAAATATACTAAAAACAAATTATTGAATTAAAAATATACACCTATTTAAGAAAAGTTCTTAAAAAATAAACGTTTACGTAAAAAAGAAATTGTCAATGTGTTTGTGCAGATATTCATGTAATAAAAATTTTTTTTGAAAAACCATACATATCTTAGTAGTACATAAAGTTCGGTTTGAAGTTGCTAAGTTACATGATCATGATACGTGCCCAATCTATTGATTAGATTTCAATACGTGTAAATAATTTTAATTCATTAGATTCTAAATATCATGTAAATCCTCTTATATATTAAAAGAGAAGTACACATTTAAAAACTTACAAACAATTGACAAAAAATTCCAAAATTACCATTCAATTATTGAGAAAGGAGAACCTTTATTGAAATTAGGAAGGCTACTTTGATATTCAAAGATTGTAATACAACGAATTAAATACACTGTACATAATTTAAACCAAAATATTCCGAATTTTGAGAAGATTCATAGCATACTCGACTCATTAATAAGATTCTCTATAACTAAATTATTTCAAATCTTCAATCAAAACTTCCCTATATTTTCATAATCTCCTAAAATATAGTATTAGTATTTATCATAAGCTAATATTTCCTACAAAAACTTTATAACATTCATCACCTAATAAATCACAAATCTTCTATAAATTTGAACTCATAACGTTTTTTATGCCTATATAAGAAATGTATGCAGTCGTGTTTCTCAGCAACACACGTTTATAAGCAGCAGATTCTAATTTTCATGTAATCTATTCTTTATTTCTCATGTTATCTTTAAGGGGTCTTTGAGAGTTGTAACCCTTTAAGAACATATTATAAGATTTTGAAAACACTACTCCTTTTACAATAGAAATTAGTTACAACGTTTTTGTTTATTTTCTTTGTTTTGTTATAATTTTTTTTAAAAATTTTCTGTTATGGTGTTGTTGGGTATACAAAACATTTAAATTGCTCTGCAGATAATCATAATCATCGCCATGTTTTAAGGTTATTTTTCTCAGGTTCTTTCATTTGGTTGGTTTTCTTCACATACTTTTTTTTAGCTAAATCTCAAGTTCAATTTGATAGCTTTTATAGATATATAATCGCTACTAACCTTTCCCATTGTTGTGATGTAAAAGAAATGCCCTTTGTACTGTTTTTGTGAAACTTATATGTACTGTTTTGGTTAGGACCTCAGAAATATATATTTCACAAGTATACCTTTTAAATTAGTGATTAAGTATATAATGTTTGTGTGTCCTGTGAACTAAGTCGAGGCAGATACATGCATACCATAGCGGGTTTGAACCATTTAACAAACTCTAAAATTACTAACTTACTAGGATCTGACCCGCGCTACAGCGCGGGAGAAAGTTTTTGGATATAGGTTATATAATACATATTTGTTATTCAAAAATAAACATGGTCAAAAGTATAAAATCTTATGTGGTGTTATGTATTGGTTAAAAATATGTAAGGAGATATGAGACAGAAAATATGGGTTAACAACATAAATAATAAAAATTAATGGGAAAAAAATATGATAGATGAAAATTATATATTTGTAAATGCTAGCGTAATTTTGATTTAATTTTGGTTCATTGAAATTTAGAAAAAGAAAATTTAAAAATTAATTATTGTTGTTGATAAAATCATTTAATTAATTCAGACTTTGTATACTTTGTCATTTTTAATATTGTTTATTAAATCATTTGTAAACATTAAAATTTATATTTACCATTGGACTATGATGCTGTAAATTATTTTTGAGTTTAGCTCGGTCATTTTAACATCATCTCAATCTTCTTATGCAAAACTTGCTATTGGAATCAGAAGAGTTATGTGTTGGAGTTCTTGAAAAACATCTTTCTTCAACTGGTGTGTAGGACGATGGAAAATTGAATGGGTAATGTGAACTGGAGTTCAAACCATGCTTGGAGCATTGGAGCATTGGATCTTTGAATTTGTTCATCTGATTAGCAGTAGACATTATCACAAAAGCTTACAGTTTGGAATTTTTTCAATAAGTAATGGTTGAATGCTTTCTTTTGACTTAGTAGCACATTGTATATAAGTACTTTTATAGTATGCATCTCTAGGGTTATGTGATGAGAATATTCTAATTATGTGAAATATCAATTATCTTTAAGTCACGGCATATTTGGTTATATTAGCATACAAAATATCAGGAGGAGGATCTCGATGTTTAGGGAAATTACTTAAAAT